TGTTCCACGAGCAGATAGTGCCGGGGAAGGAGCCCTTTTATAAGGATGAGGAACATGTGGCTGTTTCCTCAGGTACATGAACTGATCCGGGTAAGCTTAAAGGGATATCAGTGAGTTTGTTGAGATCCGGTACATCACTGTGACTTTGGAAATGGCCCTTCAGGGGTGTCAAAGAGTCTCCCACCCCAGGCTACTCAGTATGGTGTTGCTGCTGTCTTTCAAATAGTCATTCGTGACGTACCAGACAGCTAGACAGCTTTGATTTTAGTCAGGTTGTTAATTCCTCCCGGATGGATCTATACAAAGCTGGCACACTGCAGTGGACCGCACAAAGATAGTCTATCTGCGGACTGACTTCACGAGGGCAGTTGCTCAAGTTACGCCGAAAGAAACCAATTCTCATGCACTTCTGTGGGTGGTGACCACATGTTGCTTCCAGTATAAGTTGTCCGTCAGTAGGTATTTAACTGATGGTATACTGCCTCCAAAGGGTAGTTGTGAATGGAGTAGGTGAACTTGACTGGCTTGCAACGTTTAGTGATGTGGAGTACTTTGCTTTTTGCTGGATGGAGCTCCCTCTCAATTTAAAGTCATACAGTCATTTACAAAAGTTGGAGACCACCTGGAATAGGCCTTTTGTTGCTATTTCTGTCACCGGGCCTTCGTTACATTGTTTCATTGGATAATTACATGTTATCAATGATGATAACATATCAGGGTCCTGCTGTGAGACTATATACATTAATTTTATTGAAAAGGCAAGTCTTTTTATCTGTTAGGCAGCATGGGCAAACAATCAGAAAAAAAGGAGGGCACACTAAATATTAGACTGTTAAAATTTTAAATCATGGAAATGTAGTTAACTAGTTCTTTAACCAAGATACTATAAGGTTACACATTGAAAATTAACATAGGCCTAAGTTGCCACGATTGATTGGTTTCAGTTTATTTTTCTTCAGGTTAATGCATCATATATGGGTGGTCCTAAGCTTCCGTGAATGACTGTACATACAATAATAGAGAAATCAATATTTTTACATGTATTTGAAAACCCAGGTGGCTATCATTTCAAATGACATTCTTTTGTTGTTCATACACGCTACTCGTCATCCTCAAATATAAAGGCTCTTTACCATCATATCGATAGATAACGATCATTATCCAAGCGTCGCTACTAATAGTACATGCTTTGATAAAACATGGACTTGCAATACCGGAGAGTACCAAACATTTGAATTATATTATAGAAATGTCAAACTAAAGAACTATATTTTGTTATTTTGCTTGTTAAATGCAAGAAATTGAAGGCTTTAATTAAAAATTATTCACAAAATGTTTTTCTTATAAAAGCGTGGTTAATGACATTTGTATGTTTAACGTATAACATGTCACATATAGTATTTACTGGGAATTGGAATTCGAATGTTTACGTACCATTAGCAAGAGGCTAAATGCAATAACAGTTATTCCTCAGTTCTTGTTTGATGCTGGTGGGCCACAGCACGTGACCAATTGCAGTCTGGCTTCTTGTCCTTTTTAAAAATGGTTTTGTGACAAGATATTAGCCTTTCAGTATTGAACAGAGAGCAAGGCCTCTCTACATATACGTACATGTACTGAGACAACGAATTCCCGCATAGGGTGTTTTCGCATTGTGTGACTGGACAAGAAACTTGCTACGTTGAGGACGGTGTTGCGTTACAGGTGTGACATGGAACAGGCGTGAGTTTTGCGTCGACTACTTGGACCGACAAATTCTCTTGCAGAGCTGGTCGAGATTCGTACAGTGTTGAAGTCGGGGTGTTAAGTACTAGACAGGCTGTCAGACAAAGCCATTTCTACTGGCACAAAGGAGTCTGTGCAAGGATGGAGGAATCTCCTCCGTGCAAGTCAGGTCAACGGCCAAAATTCGTCCGAGGGACGGGCGAACTCCAGCGAAGAGCAACATATGGGGGCCAGTTGATTGCCTCAGAAGTGAATACACTGTATATATCTTGGCAATTCCGGCTTCTAAAAGTTAACAGAAGTTAACAGATAAAACCTTTAAAAAGTCGTCCCCATAAGCGTATAGCTTGACGAAGGAGTATATACAGTGTAGTGCCCAGTTTACGGGTGTGAACGGAGCTTGGGCGGCCATTTAACACCGACTGGTGGGTGGCACCATGGTGGCGCTAAGTCGGTGAATGACTCCTAGCCGGTCTTAAACGCATCTTCATAACC